GGCTGTTGACCTCACTGTTGAGGTCCAGCCCCTATTAGAATGAATGTATGTGGTGTTGCGATTTTAAACCGTTTTTTTTCCTCTCTTTTTTCTCTTTTTTGTAAGCCGCCCGGAGTCCTTCGGGATTGGGCGGCATATAAATTTAATAAATAAATAAATAAATAAATATTATTTTGTTTCCAGCAGTGGGCAAATGCTATTCTAGCTGTGGTCAGCCGATGTCTTAATATGTACTTAATTTATTTACACTTTCAGCAGGTCGGATTCATGTTTGGGTACATTTTAGCCAATCTCGTTGGTGGTAAATGCCAATGATAAAACATTTTATACATATTTTCTTTGAGTGCTACTGATCGTGTTAGTTTATAATTTGTGTTCCAAATTCTTTCCCAATCCACTAATCTTTATTGTGTCCAATCTTTCAATTTCTCCTTCTCCAGAGAGATTTGAAGAACTAATCTACCAACTGGTCTTTTATTCTTCACAGCAGTCTTCATTTCCTTTTTATTTGTGGAGACATCTTCAGTCAGTTTTGACTCATACTGGAAGCCAATATATGTGAACTATTCTCAACCTAATATTATAAGATAAGCAACATACTAGAATTTTTTTTTTAAAAAAATCCCTAAGTCTGTTACACTCTAAACCACCAGCCAAATCTCAGCTATAAAAAATATGGTTTGGATAGAAAACATTTCCCATATTTGGATGCTGTATCTATAAACTGCAACAAGGCAACTTACCTCCATTTGAGGAATTTCTGAGGTAATTTTCACCACCTTTTTTTCTGCACTTCTAAATAAAAGCAAAACAGATTGATCAGAATGCAAGATATACTTTCCTTTCATAAACAAAAGTAAATTCAGTTTGATGGACATAAAAATATATTACTGAATAATGAATGCTTACTGGTTTGAGATGCACAGCAAGCCATGGACATTGAAAGGCCCTCACTTTGGGATGTATAGAATACCATGTTTGATCTATTACTAAGTCAAGGCTATTTCCTGCTTGTGGCTATTATGAAACACAATATGATCATACTTCAAGCTACATGGCGTTGTTGTGCAGTGCTTAGAATGCAGTATGGTAGGATAACTCTGCCCACAGGCTGGAGTTCAATTCTGACAGCTCAAGGTTGACTCGGCCTTCCATACTTCTGAGGTTGGTAAAATGAGGACCCAGATTGTTGGGGGCAATATGCTGACTCTGTAAACCGCTCAGAGCGTGCTGTAAAGCACTATGGAGTGGTATAGAAGTCTAAATGCTATTGCTATTTGAATATGTTTTGTCTTTCTCATAATTAAAACTTCAACAGGATGCAAGCAAGATACATAAGAACTGCAAATCCAAAGATTCTCAACCACAGTGGTCGAAAAGAGTGGAATTTTGGGGATGCAGTCATATCTAGATAATATCAAGTTGAGAAAGGTTACCATAGGTGTTACAAATATACCACAAGCTTCTGAAATCTAATTAAGGATAACTAGCTGTCGCCAAAGATATTTTGTTGGTAATCTTACCTTCCTACAATTATTTATCTTAATTTTTCTCTGATAATAAAATGAAAATAATATTACACCTATTTTATAGCTGGCAACCTTGCTTTGTCCTTGCTTTGGTACATTGGGAAATTAGGAGAATATATGGATCTATGAATTATTGTAGTTATTCTGAAAATAGTTCATTTTTGACTCCACAATTATAAAAGCAGCACTGTTGTATCATTAAAATGCTCATCAAACAACATCCCTTTCAAGATATAGCAGAAAAATCTAGTGATAAAATTGTACTCTCAGAGGAAAGACAATCTTAAAAGTCTCTTCCAGTCAGAGAAGCTGCCCTGCCATCAGTATCTGAATCTAGAGAAACCCTTAAATATTTTTTAGTTCTACAGCTACAGTAACAGCGGAGGATCTTTTAATTGGGCTTCTCCAGAGAATGAAGAGCTGCCCATATTATAGATTGGCTATCTTTAGCTTGTTGCTGCGACAACATCGTCATTGTTAGAGCAAGGGGGAATTTCAGACAATAAATTACATTTTGCGCTGTCCATGGTGCTGGATTTATGTCTATTACACAACTTTTTATCAACTAGCATAAGGACTCCATTTAATGTCCTTATTTGCCCAAATTCCATTTACTTAAAAACATCACTTAATTAGACTTAAAAGATTCTACATGGACTGCCTTTTCTGTGTGGTTATATTCCTCTGAAGCATTACTAGTGTTATCTATAAATCTTGAGTAAGTACACAACATTCAAAGAGACTTCTATCTATAAATAATTTACTCCGCAAAACCCCAAAACCCTTCAAGCTCTGTCTTGGAACAATTGTTCCCTAAACCTTACTTAAGGATCATTTATAAAAACATCATGTTAAACTTTACAAATTAGAATATTACCACAAAATAATGTTCAATTGGTAAATGTTAGCAATCCTAGACGAATTATTAAAATACTTCAGGTGGTAACATCAACTTATTAAGGGGAGGTATGGTACTTTACATTAACAAAAAAGTTTATACAGTTGTAAGGGCAGAATATATTTAATTGCCATTTTGATGGTTAAATTTTTTTTCATACGATAAAAATTTAGTAAAATGGGTAAAATATATATAGAAACATAATTTGAAGGCAATCTTACGCTAATTCAAAAAAGTTATTAAATTTAGACTTTATGCTAAAATATTTTTTCTCAGTTTCCATGTTTAACAAAGATAGAGGAGAGAATGATATGGATGTGAGAAATAATATACTCCATAAGGCAATATGAGTTTTGGGAATAGCAACAGCACAAAAAGAAATTTCCCTTAACAAAGTGTATGAGCAAAGGATCAAATATGAGGCTTGATTTTAACTCTTTAATTATATGGGTGATAGCTGTTGTATTTTAGTTAATTTAAGTTTGTTATCTGTACCACACTGAAAGGAATAAAATTATTTTCAGCTCTGAGGAAAACAGATGTCATTTAACTCAAAAGCATGGGAAAAAACAGCACATTGGTGAAGAAGGAAGAAAGCTGACAAAGGCATTAGAGAACTCAATCTGCCTGAACCACTCCTACAAGTCAATGTAAACGTGTAAATGTCATTTGAACTTCTGGATATTAAAATATTTGAATGCCTTCTATATGAAGATAAATGAGATTTCATTTAGCATATAAACATTCATACACAAAGCAAAACCAGAAAAAAGATGAGTTATGCTAAGGAGTCAATCCAAGGCAGAGAAATAATGCCTATGTTACATCCCCCGTGACTTTTATCTTTTTATGACCCTATATTAACAAATGAATTATAGTTCATGAAATAACTATGGTTGACTTTTAGCTTGGTCTATCTCCATATCAAATATACACTTCTTTAACAATGTTCAATGGAAGCAGTTAGCTGCTGGAACAAAAATATAATGGACTAGGCGTGCTTGGAAGTTTATGCTCTGAAAACAAGGTTGAAGTTTGGAAGAAAAAACAAAGTGGAAGACAGAAAGTTCGGAAGTTCCCAGGCTAAATGAAACGGCATCCTCCTCCTCCAAACAGCTCCCATAAAACAGTGGGTCATAACCTGACTCATTAAGGTCTCCCATTTAGAGAAATGGATGGCTTTTGTTCAAGATTCCTGAACAGTTTTTCTATTTTATGCCCTGAAAGGTAGTAATGGTTTAATGACTTTTTCACAGGAAGCAATTCAAAACAGGAACCAGGGATTTGTTGTCCCTGCAAGCAGAGTTTGCAATCTGCAATAGGTATAGAGAAATGGCACCCCCTGCTGGCAAGAAGCTGATATTGTACTAAATGTTCAGCTGTGATTGAATCAAACCTATTTCATTTTAAAACCATTTATTCCTTTTGAACAAATGATGGTCTAATCATACTCACTAAGAAATAACAGATCTGGTGTCACAGAAAATGAATATGAGAGCTTTACTGCTGCATCTGAATGCACTGCAGTTATATTACAACTAAGAACAAATCCATGTAGGATTCTGGACTACCAAGTCTATATTTGGAAATATTTTTGCCTGTCTAAACCCTGTTTTGCTAATTTTGTAAAATGGCGAGTCATGGAAGTGAGATAGGTAGCTATATAAATTTAACAAACAATTTAAAAGGAAATATACTATAACCTTGCTTTAAGAAAAACACAATGTCTAGGCAGAGTGGGTTCTTTCAATATATATCATGAAGCTTATGTTTACCTAAAAATGGCATAATAGACTAAAATCCTTATTTTAGTGTTGTATCACTTTTGTGTTACATTTTTGTGTTTTAGTTAGTATTCTTAGTGCATTTTAAAAATCTTTTCCTCCTAATTTATCTGAAAGTCTTTTGGTTTGAAAAGAAGTACAAAATTAGTCCATAAACAAGTGGATTAAAGTTTGACTTCTCAGATAATCCAAACTATTCTACAAGAATAGTTCTATCTGCCAAAATCTAAGCTTGGAAAGCAAGTAAATGACAAAATCGCAAGCAAGGTTATTGTTTATTTACTTTATCTACCTTAACCATGATTTTTGGTATGTGACATACCTGATAATTTCATGATGAGCTACAAGTTCACCCTCCTTGACCTCTTTTAGTGCAAAATGAATGGCTGCTTGCTTGACTGGGCCATAGGACTATACTGTGTTCTACTTCAAATGTTCAGCTGACGAATGGCACTACAGCCAAATGGGCAATTTGCTTCTCTCTCTTTTAGCCTTTAAAGCATGTCGTTGACACAGGTGGCCCTATTTGCTTTTACAACTTGCCTGTTCCTTGATGTGCAATGAGAATGGGCACTGCAAGCTAAACTGTGTATCTTTGCTTTGTCTTTGTTAATACAGGGGTAACTTCTAATAGCTTTCTTTTGTGTAAGAAAGCTTGGTAGAACTAAATTTGAAATTCTTCATCTAAAGGGAAAGTGAATGTATATGTAGAAAAATAAAGCAATATCGTTCAAGGAAGGAAGACGGACTATAACAGCTTTGGTTACATAATTGATATAAATGACCTTTATCTAGAACACAATTTCAAATGCTTTGGAAAAGAATGTTAATTTCTTTAAAAATCAAAGGTAAAATATACACAGGGTTACAAATTTAGAGATTAGGTAAATCTGTTTTAAGCACAAAAGAGTCATGAGGACTGGGTGTTAAATCACAGAATTTTGGACTATACTTATTTTAAATACACTTCATTAAATTTGGCTTTTTATTCAGGTCAATTATATTTAGCTTCTTTGTACTCATACCTGAGATTTCCAAAATGTCACACTATTTCAAATGTAATCCATTACTAATCCTTCCTAATCCAGATTCATAATCCACTTGCTTATTGAGACAAGAGTCAGAATTGCAATAAACAAACAGCAAATAAATTCTGAAAATGTACATAGATGAGTAATACTTGGCCAATATAGATTTTGAAGTAAAATTACGTTTCAGGAGAGGTCTCTGTAATCATTTCCTCTTTAATGGGATTGTCTAAGGGCTTCTGTTCTTCTTCCTGCAATGTAAATATTCAAAGTTAAAAAGTGGATCTACAAAGCAGAACAAATATAGGCTGCACAAACAGTTCCAGCCCCATCTTATATATATGCCTTACTGAAGTAGACATTAATGAGTAAATTATGAATTAAAGTAAACCTTCACAGAATTTTACCTCTGAAGAGAACCCCACAACTCTTGGTCAACAGCGTTTGAGGCTGGAAATATTTAACAAACATTTGGGGGGAGGGGGACAGCATGTCCAGTATTTAATTTCTTATTGTAGTTCAGTCTATTGGATAGCCAATATGAGAGTAAAGTGCAGACAGGGTTCTAAAAATGTTATCCATATAAAAGTTTATTCCTAACCAGGATGACATTCAACTGCCCCAATATACTTCCCAAAAACCTATAGGAAGATAAATACATTTGCATTATCCATTTCTAGAAATATAATTTCTGCTATTAAGATTCAGAATAGCTTCCAGCTTGAAGTAAAATACATAGTTTCCGTGTAGGAAAACAGAAGAGAGAACAAACAGCAATTAAAAGCTGGGGATAATTTGAAGAAATATATAAGGAATGCATATACATTCAGGTTAAAGACTCACAATACCACTGATATTTTTTTCTCCAGTGAACTGAATAGCTAAAATTGGTGCTTTTCAAGTCACATACAAAGCAAGAATAACTCTGTTGTCAAGAAAAAGTGCAATAGCCCTAGCAATAGCATTTAGACTTACAGTGCATTCAGACCCCCTTCACTTTTGTCAATGTTGTTATGCTGCAGCTTGATTCTACAATTGTTGAAATTTATTTTTTCTCATTAATCTACAGTATGCCATAATGACAATGTGAAAACAGAATTTTAGAACTTTTGTCTGTAAATTTATTAAGAAGAGAAAACTGAAATATCACATTGGCATAAGTATTCAGACCCTTCACTCAGTACTTTAGTGAAGCACCTTTGGTAGCAATTACAGTCTCTAGTCGTTTTGGGTATGACACAACAAGCTTTGCACATTTGGATTGGGGGATTTTCTGTCATTCTTCCTTGCAAATCCTCTTGAGCTTGGTCAGGTTGGATGGTAACTGTCAGTGGACAGATATTTTCCAGAGATGTTCAATAGGGTTCAAATCAGGGCTCTGGCTGGGTCACTCTAGGACATTCACAGAGTTGTCCCTAAGCTTCTCCTGTGTTGTCTTGACTGTGTGTTTAGGATTGGTGTCATGTTGGAAAGTGAATCTTTGGCCCAGTCTTAGGTCTCGAGGCACTGTAGAACAGGGTTTTCATTGTGGATATCTTTGTACTTTGCTCCATTCAGCTTTTCCTCAACCCTGACCAGTCTCAGAGTCCCTGCTGCTGAAAAACATCCCCACAGTATGATGCTGCCATACCCTGCTTCACTGTTGGGGTGGTATTGGGCAGATGATGTGCAGTGCCTGGTTTCCTCCAGACATAACATTTAAAATTGAGGACAAACAGTTCAATCTTGATTTCATCAGACCAGAGAATCTTGTTCCTCAGAGCTTGTGAGTACTTCAGGTGCTTTTTTGCAAAACTCCAAGTGGGCTTTTCATGTGTTTTGCTTCCGTCTAGCCACTTTGCCATAAAGCCCAGATCAGTGGAGGGCTGCAGTGATGGTTGTTCTTTTGGAATTCTGCCCCATCTCGACACAGGATCTCTGGAACTCAATCAGTGATATCGGATTCTTGGTCACCTCTCTTACTAAGGCCCTTCTCCCCCAATTGTTTAGTTTCACTGCACAACCAATCTTGGAAGAGTCCTGTGCCAAACCTCTTCCATTTGAGAATTATAGAGGCCACTGTGCTCTTTAGGAACCTTCAGTGCATCTGAATAATTTTTTTTGCAGCCATCCCCAGATGTGTGCCTTAAAATAATCCTGCCTGTCTACAGGCAGTATGCATTGCCAGCTGTGAAGCCTTCTATGGAGCGGTGTGTGCCTTTCTGAATCATGTCCAATCAATTTAATTTATCACAAATGGACTCCAGTCAAGGTGTAGAAACATGTCAGGAACAATCAAAAGAAATGGGAGGGACCAGAGCTAAATTTCAAGTGTTGTTGCAAAGGGTCTAAATACTTATGCCAATATGATATTTCAGGTTTTTTATTTTTAATAAATTTACAGACATTTCTAGAATTCTGTTTTCACTTATGGCGTACTGAATGTAACCAGAAAAAAAATGAATTTCAACCTGTAGAATCAGACTGCAGCATAACAAAATTGACAGAAGTGAAGGGGGTCTGAATACTTTTTGAATGCACCGTATATAATGCTTCACAGTACTTTACAGTACTCTCTGGGCAGTTTACAATATCAGCATATTTCCCTCAACAATCTGGGTCTTCATTTTATCAACCTCGGAAGGATGAAAGGCTTGAGCTGCTAACTCCTGGTAACTCCATTGCCAGCTGCTAACACCTGGCAATGGGCAGTTAGTCTGCAATGCTACATTCTAACCACTGTGCCACCATGGCTATAATCTAGCATAAAGGTCAGAAATTATCTGGTTATTTTATAAAACTTGGGATGACCATATAACATTACAATTCAATATAGTAATTTTTCCACTCATGCCCCAATATTACTACTTTTATGTGAATTTACAAAGATTGACTTCTATAACTTTTGGATATTTTTGGAAAGAATTATGCTGTTATGTCTTTAGCAGCTCTCCTGATTGTCAAAGGTATTCAAGAATTTAATGCAGGCAATGTGCCAACTTATAAGAAAAAAGAAGAATCATTGCGACATTTGGCTGGTTTCTATGCCAGCCATAGGAAAAAGGTATCAGAGGATGGATGAATTGACCCAATTCTGTTCAATCAGTCCCTTTGTAAAATATTTTCTCCCCTTTATTCTTTGCTAAAGGCTTTTTGGTTCATGCTGACTTTGAAAAACGAGCCCTACAAACATTTTATACATTTATGGACTAACTTTAAGATGATTTTTAAAAAAATGTCTGGTTATATGTAACAAAAAGTAAATTTCTATAGTCTGCACAAGCAAAATAAGTAATCAATGAATTTTATTTGCATACTTTAGGAAGGAAGGAAGGAAGGAAGGAAGGAAGGAAGGAAGGAAGGAAGGAAGGAAGGAAGGAAAGTATGGGCCATATAGCGATATCTCAAGAATATGTGGGGACAGAACAGGGGGAGTAATGAATCATGTGAGGAATCACATTCAAAATTCATAATGAACTATGTTATTTCCATGACCCGAAAAAGAAAGATTATGCACCTTGAAAGAATGTGATTACTTAAAATAAATCACACTTCTGCATTAGTTTTTTTTATTATTTTAGAGCATATCTATAACATTTATAAAGAACAAAAAATGTCATTTTAGCATTGTCCTCATTAATACTTTTAGAGCCCTTTCTAATAATTGTTACAAAGATTTTACATAAAATTAAAACTTATTTAAGCTATTGATATGGAAGTTGTAAGAAGTTAACAGCTACAGCTAAATCAATTTTCAAAACAGATTGGAAGCAACTTAAACTGTGTTTTCAAATATTTAGAAAAAAAAAACCATAAATATTTTCCCCCATTACTGAAGTGGTCAGTTACTGAAGATACATAAATGATTCAGTTTCTGACCACAAAGGAATATTTTATTGTACTGAAAAATAACCAGACGCACTAAACGTGACAATGTGAACAGCACTGTTCTGATTATTATAAATACTAGATTTTTCAGACTATAAGACACTCTGGACTATAAGACACACTAAGCTTTTGAGCAGGTAAACAAGAAAAAAAAATCTGCCTCTGCCTCCCAGCAATTTTCCACCTTGCAGCAAGCAGCAAGGTCAGCTTCAGCACAGCCTGATTTTGCATGAGCAGCTGATTGGCATTTGGGTCAGCCTCCCGGAGTACCGCTTATCAGATGTTCTAGGCTGCGGGGATCCTGGCCGCCCATCCAGGCTGCCACCTATTGCCACCTCAGTATGCTCCATTTTCGGTCTCCGTGTGTCCTGTTTCCAGCTCATTCCTGGCAGTGGGGATTGCTGCCGCTGCCTATCCCCGCTGCCTGGAGTGGGCCAAAAATGGGATGCGTGGAGGCATTGATAAGTGGCAGCAGCAATGGCTGGTGGTGATCCCTGCAGCCTGGAACAGCTGATTGGTGGTATTCCGGGAGGCAGATCCAACCACCAATCAGCTGCTTGTGCTAAATCAGGCTCTGCTGAAGATGACCAGGCTGTTTGCTGCAAGGAGGCAAATTGCTGGGAGGCAGAGGCCGAAGGGTGGAGGTAAGCGAGTGGGCGGGGCTTCAGCAACATTAGTTCTATAAGACATTTCCACCAACTTTTTTTGGGGGGGGGGGGGGGAAGAGTGCGTCTTATAAAATATGGCAGATTTTTTTCCTATTATAATCCCTATAGTCTAGAAACAATTTATAAAAATAACAAAAACATTCATAAAATAATTACATCATTTAAAAATATTATTATTTAGCATATGGC